ATATATATATATATATATATATATATATATATATATATATATATACACAATATTACAAATAAAAGAGAAAAAGCTATTATTTTTTTATTTCTCTGATAAGTGCTTCATTTATTTATTCGTTTATGTAATAAAAGTGTACAGATAAAGAAAAAGATATACAAATATTTAAATACGTGTATATATATTTCGAGAGAATATTATTATAAATTATAAACTTTTCACTCCCCCACGGAAAGTAGTTTAAAATGATAAATAATTCTGAAATTTGCGTATAATATCTGTATACTAGGCTTTAATATTATAGTAGTTTTTTATTAAAATCCTAAATATAAAATATAGTTTGACAATTAAAATTAAAAATATGATGTTTTCAACCTGATACAGAGAATACGTGTCAAAAATGTCAGCTTTTATTGCAAATATTTCAGCTTTCCAATGGTCAAGCTACTTATAATGCGCAAATAATTAATCATCTTTAAATCTGCATGTAGTTTAAGTTTCAACAAATTCTTAAAGGACTCATATTTTACATTACTACTACCTTAAATCGCTGCCGGCACACGTGCTCGTGAGAGTTGTCACTCGTAAGAATGTCCGTGTGTGTACAGGTAGATTAAGTTAAACTGAACACAAAATTCCCCCATCATTTCGGGGAATTTTCGTGTGTACGTAATGTATTAGATTATGTGTAAATTTACGTAGGTGTTAAATATGTAAAATTGAATTTTGGGGTTTAATTAATCGGGTATTCCTCTTCCAGTGTTTGATCACTTCTTCTAGCCGTTCGTGCATATTGTGTATTTATTCCCTCTTTATTCTAGATTAGCACTTCTTCGGATTCTTGTAAATTGGCTGATATGGCCTTCACAAATCTCTCAGATATCTGATATCAAACTCTAAAATTCAGTTTTATACATTTAACACCTATGAAAATCTACATACGCGTATATATACGTTTACACATAATCTAATACATTACACACACACGCATGCACACAGTACGTGCAAAATACGGTTGGCAACCTATCCGCGGTGCATATCGGTTAATACCAGTGCTAGCGATAGGTAATGAAAATGCACAGGTAATTTTAGACTGTGTGTGTGTGTGTGTGTGTGTGTTTGTGTGTGTGTGTGTGTATGGTATATTCCTGTGGAAAAAAGTTATACGAACTTTTTTATAACAAGGGGAAAACCAATCTTTATGGTTTCGTCAATGAAATTCAAGAAAAAAAATTTGCCACTACTATGGATTCCGCTGAAATATACGCAGTTTTTACTATAAAAAAATCACGTTCACCTTTTCGGAGAGATAGTGAAGCGAGAATATTATAAAACAAAAATTCAACCAATATTTCCTCACAGTAGACACTTGATTCTTAAAACTAAAAAAAAATTTGTACGATAATTTCTCACAGAATACTGCTCATTCAAATGTTATCTATATTTGTCTAATTTTCTGATGCTATATTTCTTTCGAGCACTGTATATGACTTCAAAAGGGGATTCTTCTAAAAACTACAAAGGGAAAATATTCTAACATCTAAAAAAGAGCTCTAGTTGCAACGTGCTCTCTCTATTTCATGTAATTCCATATTCTAAACGAGAACTTTTATCGAAAGAGTACTTCTCTCCTAATAATGTAATCTATTGATTGAAAATCTAGATATTATGCCAATTTTTTTCCTTTGAATTAAGACGAATGTTTTCTTGAAGAAAAAATTTCTGTTAAGAACAAGACTTGTACTGTAGATAACAGGTGAAATTTTTCTAACTTTAAGAATAGTGTGTTTAGAACATTTCTTTTATTTTAGAAGAATTCTAAAATCTATCTGACGATAACTGTACAAAACTCTCGTGTACGTGTAGAGTCAAACTAAACATGAGATTCCACTATTATCTTGCAAACCGTGTAAAATTTGGAATTGTTGATTAAAGAAGATTGACGAGTGACCGCACATACGATAGATGAGCTGTGATGGCGACCGATCAAAAAAGAACAAAAAAGTCCTGCACCATTTTACAAATGACTCCCTGGATTTTCAGTTATTGATTAAAGAAGATAACCTGAGTCAAATATTTCTTCATTTATCTTTATGTATCTTTCCATAAAGGTACGAGAAAGTAAATTGCTGCTGAAATGCATTACTGAAATACAAATATGTTTGCCGAAAAACGGAATCGGATAAACAAACAAAAGTATATATTTGATATTTCAAATAACCATATCGGGTGACATGCGCATTGGAAGAGACGATCTTCGTGTTGTTTCGAGCGGTGCAATTTTCGCAATATATTAATGAAGGAATTTTTAATATCAAAATGCCAAATAGAATATTGTCGTGCGTATCGCCAACATCGCTGAGCTGTTAAGCTCTCGCAGCAGAGTTTCGTATTTCGATCGTGTAAAAATGCAGTTCTCTCGCTCCTCCCGCGCCACCACGAGATAGAGTAACGAAATGGACTGTCCTTTCCCTTCTATTTTTTTTCTCTCTCTCTTTTTTTGTCAGATATAAATAAAATCGTACGTCGCACGTGATAATAGGGCTGTGTGCTCACCGTACGAATCCGAGACACGAGCAAGCGACGACAGGAGGCAGAAAACAAACGCCAGAGATACGAACATGTGGTTACTATGGCTGATGGCCATTTTGTCCGACGCAGCATATGATATACACATCATCTACGTACATATACCGCCGGCCGATCGGAATAGTGGGGCTAGATTTATTATTCGCGAACGAATCCCGTTGAGAAATCGCGTCCCCACCTGCGACTGTTCGCAGGAACTTCGCGAGGGAGAATCTCGCCAGCTCGCCGATTAATCGCGACCTTTACGCGTCGCGAGATGAGGAGACCGTAAAGAATCGGGCCGCGATTATGCGGCGGTTACGTGGCGCATTCTCTTCTTAGTTAGTTAGTGAAATGATAAAAAACGCATAAGATACGTTGAGAGATAACAAAAGTTCTTACACGAATTGTCTCCGTTTCACTCCTTATTTTCCCAACTCGATTGAAGCGTAACTCATCAGTTTTTTCTTGTGCAAAAAAAAGAGTTTCCATGAGTAAGCAAATTAAGAATAAAATTAAAGACAAATAAATAAATTCAATCGTCAGATCGATTTGTATTTAAATATTGTCGAAGTCTCAGTTCCCGAATTGTATTCCTGGCTTTAGGAAGTCCATTTTGGAAAGTTTGGCTCCTATATTTCGCAACATTACAGGAATCGTAACTGTATTAGTGTCATTTTGTTTGAGATGAGAAGAATAGGGAACTATTAATATAAGAATTGACATACACACAGATACACACGTACAAAAAAATTAGTTAACACGGAATATACATAGAGAAAATTTTGTAGTAAAAATTGTGATAGGATTTTGTAATCAAATAGATCGACATTCCACAATAATTGACTACCTTTCCAATTCATATTTGTTATTTATATTGTATAAACTAAAAAATGTACTATTAAAAAATTTTCTATATTTCTACACGGAAAGAATTTTATAACAAAAATTACTGTAAAATTTTGTAACTAAAAAATAGATCAATATTCTGCAGTAATTAACTATTCTTTTATGTGTGCTATTTATATTGCAGGGACTGAAATGCGCTATTAAACAATTAGTTATGTCTCTGTACAAAGAGAATTTTATAGTAAACATTTTTTAAAGAATTTTGTAATCGAGGAATAGATCGACATTCTGCAATAATTGGCTATTCTTCCATTTCATATCTGCTATTATTTCAATCCAAAATGGTTATTAAAACTTTTTCTAGGTTTCTACATAGAAAGAATTTTATAATTAAAGAATAGATCGATATTATGCAGTAATTGACTATCCTTTCGTTTCATGAGTACTATTAAAATTCTAAAAACCGAAATATATGTTACTAAAGAATTTACTAAATTTTTGTTAAATTTACTATGTTCTTTAGCAAGGTAGATTTTACTGCACATTATCTCTACCCTATTAAAAACATAATAAAACTGAAAATTTATTTGAAAAAGGAAATATTACAATCTCCGTGTAGTGAAATTTACTTTGTTTCTTAATAAAATAGAACTTACCGACAATCTATTCTTACTTTACTGGAAACACAGTAGAACTGAAAAGAATTTGTACAAAAAGAAAACTATAACATATTCTTTCCGTGTAGATTCGCCGTGCACGTGAAACCAAAGCAATCTTGACACGTGCATTTGTACTGTCAAACTTTATCATCGTCCCGCGATTAAATTCAACACGAATGACGAGTTACGGTCTAATCGATCAGGTGCTCGCGTTTTTCGATCCAGCTATTAAGAGCTGTTTATATATATATATATATATATATATATATATATATATATATATATATATATATATTTATTTAGATTGATTCCTATTATTAACCTTCTGAGAACCTGCTATTTTTTTATCTACTTTTTTATTTTAAGAGCTAGAACTTTTTTGTCAATGTCATTGGATTGAATGAGGAAAAAGCTGACACCGCCGTCGCGCCGATATATCGGCTTCCGGCCCTCCAAAGGTTAAGATTGGTCGTCATGCGTTAATACGTCGACGAATGGCGTCGGAGTGATCCCAAGGAGGAAAACAATATTTATTCTCGTCTCTGCCGCGTGAAAGTGGCCTGCGCATTAACGATCGCATTATTCTCGTTTAATGTGGCGGCCAATACGATCTTGCAAATGGCACGGAAAATCGAGAATGCCCCGTTTCGACACGCGCGTGTCGCTTAGCCGCGTCGTGTGTTCGTCTTAATAAACTGCTCGCTCAATTAAAACGACAGGCGCGTGCGCGCCTTTCCAATTTTTATTCTCGCTCTCCGCGGTTACAGTGAGACACCCCGTGAATCGATTACATATTTCTTCACGTATCACGGAGATTGAGTTGACGTTCGGAACGCGAAAGACACGCGAATCGATCGCAGCGTATACCTCCTCTCTCTGCTCACCGTCTGATATTTGAAACGCGACATTTGAAAAACGATAGAATACTATCGACAGAGACTAAGCAAATGAGACAAGTAACGCGATATCATCTGTCATTCTGAAACTTTATTCTGAAACTTTATTCGCTAACATGCTGATGACATTCGTGTTACCGCAACGACATTACAGTGGATTAAGGTGACGGTTCTAATTAACGGTCATTTAAGATTAAAACAACTTTCATTCACACACACACACACACACACACTCACACACACACATTCTATAAATTAACTATAAATATAAGTGTGTTAATATACCAATATAAGTAATAAACATTGTAGTTTAAAAGCAAAATTTGGTTAGACTTTAATTCATTTAAATTAATTATAAATTAAAAAAGAAAAATATATAATTGTGTGTGTGGAAACACTTATACGTAAGGCTCAATTATGACTCAGTAAATTTTATTTCTCTGTTACGATTATATTACCAGATTAATATATTATTATATAACACCTAATTTTATATTATTTTTATATTTGTCTCTACATATATAATCATGTACAATCATTCGTGATTGTATATGTCCACACGGAAAGAAATGCTGTTGTACAAATACAATTAAAGGAGCTGCTTATATTTGTGCTATTAACATTTAATCGAATAAAGCTATTTTTTTCTATTTTTTCCATTCAGTAGCATTTTTTCTCAATATAGACACACATAATTATATATGTGATCACGTAAAAACAATTCATATATGGATTATATACAAGGAAAAAAAGCTTGGTTGAATTAACCAAATGCATGGTGAAATGTGAACGAAACAAAAATCAGTTGAAATTACTTGTTGAAGTTACTAGAATTCTATTTAAGTTAACAAGATTTCTGGTCAGCTTGAACAGTTCTGGTTAACTAGAAATTTTGTTAATTTGGAAATTACAAGTTCTGATTAGCTAAAAATCTTACATTGAGAAAGAAATACTTGAAAATTTATTTGCTAGAGATATAAAGTTTATTTACAGTAAACTTTATTTTATAAACATAAGCTTTATTTAACGGAAACAAATTTTATATTCCACAAATAAATTTTCAAAAATTTTTTTTTCTATATTAACCAGAACAGAATTCTAGTAACTTCAATCGGAATTTCTGATTTGTTCATATTTTATGAAACATTTGGTTAATCCAATCTATAACTTTTTTCCGTCTATAATTATAGATAATTTATAGATACATTCATATATAATTTTATACATAATTATATATATATATATATATATATATATATATATATATATATATAT